AATCAAAACCAACCTAGTTTTTATCCGTCTACATAGTCAAATATGTTTTTTTCCTAGAAAGAAAACCCAATTAATCATTACGAAAGACTGATTAAATTGCACGACAGAACACTACATCATTTATCGTTTCAACTAGATGAATTCTATGCAAAAGGTATATATATATATATATATATATATATATATATATTGCTATCATTTGTTTTTGTTCTTCCCCACAACATGTTTGTTGTTTTTGTTGTCAAATATTAACTACCATCAATACTACTAATATACTATTATTGTAATTCACTGTTAAAAATCATTGTCTACTTATCATCAGTTCGGTGCAATATTTAATTATATTATAATAATTGAATCAATTTCAGTGTATATACAATTCGCACATGATATGTATGATTTTCCTTTATCTAGGGATAATAGCTGTAACCAGAATACTTATTTGTTTTGTTAATAAATGAAATGCCTTTCTTTACATTTGTTTTTTTTTTGTGTGAAGAAATATTCAAATGACAAACTTGAGATGGTAATGGTCACTGAAAAGTAGTTAAGGAAGAAGAAAGCTGAAAAACCAATGATTAATATGTACAACATAGCCCTTTGAACTATATAACTTGACAAGACACAATTCATCATTTATATATAATGTGTATATAACAAGAATTTTTGTAAAAAGGATTACTTGTCATTAGCAGCTTATCTAAAAATAGATAAATGGAATTCTGTAAATTAAATTAATAAGTTAGTAAAATAAATTTATAAAACAAGCTAGTATTTAAACAAAGCACTACCTTTTAAGCAGTTTTTCTACCATTGAATATACCCGAATATATGTAGTGATGGTTCATTTTAATCAAATATAGGAAAACGGTAAATTTATTTGAGTTATTTAGTGCCGTGTTAGTAGTTAAAACATTCACTTTTAAATAAGTAGATCATATGATTGAATCCTGTTCTATGTACTTCGATAGTTGGTATTCCTTTAGTATAACTATGCATTGGAAATAAGTTATAGCAGGTGAATAAAAATAAGAATAGCTCTTTAACAAACCCTAATATTGACAAGAGTAAAGCATTTGAAAGTATGATTATTTAATCTAAATCAGATTAGTATGGAAATAAAAATTTTAGACTCTACGATTGAATTTTCGAAAAATATTAACATAAAATAATTGAATGTTGAAGTTACAGTTTACAAAAATAAAAACAACTTCGAGAATTGTTTAAATTTACTGACCTATATCGACTTCCTTTCAATAGTTCCGTACTAAACATAATATGTATTAGAATAGTCAAGATTAATGTATAAATCACAAGGGGTCTATTTAAAAATAAGAATTACTACATATAAAGGTGTTATAAACATGGGAAATTCCGCTCAAAGATCTAAGTACTGGTAGTTCTTCAATGAGATTTAAATGGATAAAACTTTTTTTAATTGTGATACATCAGAGCGGTTAACCAAGGTGAACTAGTAATAAATCTAATTCTATAGCTAAAGAAAGATTCATGAAACTAAAACTACATTGATGATAAAGTGATTTAGTATTTCATAGAGTAGTGATCCCGTAGTCTAAACATTCAAACGGAAATTACTGTATAAGCAGATAAGTTTAAATATTAGACCTGCTATGTAAATTTAATGTACAGACAGATACACAATTTCATAATTGACTATTATCAATCCTTTTAAAGCTAACACATGATAATCAAAGATCTAGAAATGTATTCGACATCATTTTAAATTAAACAATTGTCAAGTGTTCATATTCGCAAAGAATACTTCAAATGTCTATCATATAAATAAAAATAAGGCTGAAAAAGTGTTATATCCGGACGAGGATAAATGAATAGTAACCGCTAGTAACTATTTATGGACTAATTTTGTACATATATTCTTATTGTACAACTGTTAAGAAACTAAACTACATATACTTATATTCCTCTTATTATAAGCTTTAATTTGACCTATTGATTACTGTTACATGATTAACTATTCTCAAGTTATTCTCAATCTATTAGTCAGTTTCTCATGATCACAGCCACTTTTCGGCTTGATCTTGTACAAATGTTAGTTTCTACTTTATGGTATGATGTAGCCTGGTTTGCTTGTATATAAACCACGAATGTTTGCAATACATAATTCGATATAACGGAGACTGATATTTGTGTTCTGGACTGGATTGACTGAGTTAGGCGAAAAGATGCTATCTCAAGGACCAATAAGAACTCTAGGCAGCTCTCACTAGTTTACACGTCATTAGTCCGGTCAATAAGACGGTGACTCTAATTGGCGATCGTATCGCGTGGTATATTAACAAGGCACAAAGGCCACAAGTTATAACAAAAAGAAATGAGTTTTATAATAAAACAACATGTGTATGAGCAATAATACAACTTCATCACACGGTTATTAGTAAATAAAGATCAATAACATTTTATGCGTTTAAAGAACATTAGAAGCCGTATAGAAGGAAAATGGATTTTTTTCATAGTGCATTTACAAAATCCACTAACAACAATATAATCTATTGTAACAACCTGTTCATGATTACTAAATTATCTGAATAATATAAAAAATAAACTGAATAAAAAGGAACAAATTACAATCATTATTAATTAAGTTTTAATTTAATAATCAATAAAGATATAATATTATAAATTAACAGTGGTTAACCATTTTCTTGATACATTTAATAAACTGATAGGATTATATCTATCATGAATGAGTTATTGATGCATAAATCAAATGAGAAAAGAAGATAGTATGCACGTATAACAACATAACCATTATCTGACATGTAATGTAAAGATTAATTACATCAAGATAGGAAAGATTAGAAAGAAACGAGCACATGTTAGTGTGGAGGACAGTGAGGCAGAAAAAAGAACAATGAAGGGCGCATAAATGTACATGCGAGCACATTACAAACTTTAAGAATACTAAATCAAACAAGATTCATGTTTAGTGTTTACACAATTTATTTTGAATTTATTTAATATGGAAAAACACTGAATTGTAAAAAAATGGATTTTTTTTTTCTCTTCGAGGGATATATAACTTGTATAGCTTGTTATTATAAGTGGATGAAGTTCACTTGACTTCATTAAACCCTAATATCACAAGTTATGATAGTCATTACATGAGAGTACTATAGGCAACACAGATCAATTCGTAAGACATATCCAATAAATGATTGGGGATTTTACAAGTCTATCAATTATATAATTAATTTAACTAGTTAGAATAGCATATTATATGATAATAAATATACTTTTTAAGTAATAGCATACACGAAATTTCATTTAACAAAGGATGTGCTTAGTTGCTAAATATGATTAGTAGTTTTGAATGATATTACGCTATTTGGATCAGTGTAGGCGAACGAAATTAGAATCTGTAATTTAGTGTAATTTAGCTGTAAAGCTCTAGATGAAATTTCTTACAAAATAATGTTCGAGAGATTATCTCTAGCTAAATGCTTAAAGCAATCTGTTTGCAATCAATGAGTCAATAGATTTGGACCTTCCCATTTGAGCATTATATCATCATTCACCTTCAAATTAAGCATAAAACATGGCAGAGAGAATCAGTTTTCCGGTGACTAGTGTTGTTGTTCAATAATTAAATGACTAGGTTTTAACAGAAAAATACATTTACTGCAACAATGTATATATCAGTAGCAATGTGTAAGTGTACATAAAAGTATTTGTGTGCGTATATGGGTAGGTAAGCAAACCGTGTCCACCTACTTATATACGAACAAATCAAGTACATATTTATGAAAAATGTGAATAGAAATCACTTAGTATTAAAATAATAAAAAAATATTCTGAGTATATATTATATTATGTATGTATATGTATATATTCCAAAGGTCAAGAGATTGATTAATTTATGATATATATCTATCATATTCCTTTCATTCATTCAAGTAAGCAAATGACTAGGAAGAAGAGAGAAAATCAAAACAATCGAAGTTTCCAGTTAAGATTCACTTGACGATAGTTATTTTTAAACGGCATTTTCACTCCACTATATATACATATATATATGAAACAGAAACTTAAGTGTGGGGTGGGGAAGTAAAAGATTGAAAAAGCAACAGGAGCAAGAAAATACTAAAACTACACATATGTATATTTTAAACCAACATATTCATGAGTTGTACAGTTACGCTGGTCATGTTTAACACAAAACTAAATCAATCAACTATTCATGATGTAAAGGAAATCTATAAAGCGTGGAAATTTTGGGAAGAAATTAACAAGTTGTTTGTAAACTTGTTAAGAGTGCTTACAATCATTAGTTATAATTTACAAATAAGTAAGGTTTACATTAGTTAGGATATATAAATAAATATAGCTTGTATCGACGATACAAGGTCCATTTGTAAGGTCATATATACCTTTGTTCTTTCGAAACAGTCTAGAAAACACAGTGAGATGAAAAGAAAATTTTGAATAGGAATAACGGAAACACAATCATTTGAATGGAAAGTTCAAGCACTGCGCCTCAAAATTAATTTTGAAGCGCATTCCAGAACCATAATAAGGATGTAAAAGTGAAATATTTGGACTTACATTTATATGAAACATACAATGGACTTAATATTCTATATACAAATTTTGCATTTCAAGTGTACACCAAATAACGATTTAAACTGTAGAATAGACAACTTAGAAACACCTGAGAATTTAATTTTGTGAAATGATAACTAAACTACTCGAATTATATGTATAGTTTAAAAGTGTATTCTTATTTTCAATTCTGTATGATAATGCATCAATGAGGAAAAGGGTTAACTATAGAAAGCAACCATTTAGAAAGATAAAAAAACAAACAGAGATTCTTTTAACATGAACTATTAAGTAATGACAGTATATTTCAAATTTATCAAAACGTACAGCTTCAACTAGTTCAATTAACAAATAAATGGACTTTTAAAAAATTCACAAAATCAATATTTACTTAAATTGTTAACAACAGAATGACTTACCAGTTGTTTCATTTAAACCAAATTCCGGTTGTTTAGTAAGCAAACGATAATGTATCACAGCATTATCACCTTCATCTTGGCTAATCGCCTTGAGGCGAGTTAGCCTTTCACCTATAGGCGCCAGTTCTGATATTTTTATCCGATGAGCAGATGTGTTCACAAATTGAGGAGGTGAATCATTGACATCAAGTAATTTTATAGTAAATGTTGCACTCGATGTGAATGAAGTAGACTGTTCGCCTGCACTAGAATGTTGATGTGATCCGTCTGTTACTATAACAGTTAGAGTATGAACACTTTTAACTTCACGATCCAATGGTCGACTGACTCTTAATAAGCCAGTGTGTGATTCAATACTGAAACTAGAGTCATGGGCTCCAACGAGACTGTAGACTAAACGATTAGTATCAACTAAATTGAAAAGAATGAACAATTGAATAACAGGTAAATTTTATAGTCCATCAGTAAATTATTAAATATTTCACAAACTTATTACTTTTAATTTACACAAGTTATACGAAAAAGAATAAATACATGCCAATAAATACGTTTCTATTGGTCACTCGATGACCTTTATCAACAGCCAATAAAACCATGAGCCAATAAGAATCATTTAATAAAATAGACAACAGAGTGAGTAAATTAATTACAAGTGTAAATTCTATCAACTTATAATAATAATAAAAATATTTCACAGATAAATTCATGGTTCATAACACCATTGGAGGAATATTTTTTAATCATTACCAACAGAACAAATATTTTACTTTTAGAAAATCACATGTAAAGAGTAGACTTAATAATAAATAAATAAAAAACTAACAAAATTCACCGACCTTACAAAGTAGCGGTCATAATGCTCCACATATAAATATAGATGTTGAAGACTGCAATAAATCCCACTAAAAAAAATTACTACGAATTCCAAAAAGTTAATTAAGCATAATTTGACCTAAGTTTTATCAATCTACAGAATCTATGAAACAAAACTGAGTTAGTTTCTGTGTTGTTTTTTTCCTAGACTTCAAATTACATCATATGAGTGAAAATGCTATTTTTTATTACAAGACATATGAAGCTATTTATTTTTTGCCTAAATAATAAAAGTTTCGACCAACTAAATGAAAAATTCAGTTCAAAAGCGCTTTAGAACATTTTATTGTTGTTTTATGACTATTTCCCTTTTGAAAAATGAATTAGTTTGAAAACAGAATCTTTTAAAAATAAAAATTCAATGAATAAAAAAGACAAGCATAAATAGATAATTTGGAAAAATCTACATTAAGCTGAGAAAAATTGGAAACTAATCAACACAGTGTACAACAAAGTGTTTTTTCCATTTGTGGCCATAGTCCCAAATTGTATATATATATATATATATATATATATATATATATATATATATATATATATATATATGGATGGGGGGGGCACTCGAATTAAATGTTTCCAACTGACATGTAATTTATAGTTGACTGAATCTTATCTTAAGGTAATGGATAGTACACAACAAGTCTAATGTGATACAAGTAACCATCATATTTAATATACTACCATAAATATTTGTGCAGATCAGTATTACTTGTCATCAGTGAAAAGGAAAGATTTCAAGAAATATCTGAACGACAATAATTAAATAAGTATCACGAGAATCAGAATATCATTCTGATATATTGCTGAAAGTGGTCAAATACAAATATCAGGAGTCGCAGTAAAGTGCTTCAGATTGTGTGCCAAAAGCAAATAGATTCAGGTACTACAATGAAATCCAATGTGATTTAAACTCCCTGATTCCATCAAGCATATTTGAAATGTAGAAAAAAATTCAAGAGAAGAGAGTAAAAAACTAGATTGAAATGAAGAAGTAAAACCTAATGCGTAAGAAAAAAAATAGTAAGATTTGTATCACAGTGACTACCTCTATCAGCGATTCGACAACTTCACTATTACAACACAGGCTCCGGAACAAAACTAAAGTTATCAAACAGTAATACAATTATTTGTACAGAGGTTCGTGAAGATTTTTGAGCTCATACTTTTAAATTATGCAGTGACTTTAGCTACACAACCATTGAAAACTAGAAAGTCTATAAGAATTGTACATTCTTAATATAGCACTCTTCAACACTGAGTAGTAACGTCTATACTATAGATCAAAACCTGAAGCTTTTGGGCTTACGGATGATAGAAATGTGATGTATTCGCGTGGCATAAATTCAGTAAGCCGAGAAACGCAATTGAAGGTCAAGTGGGTCAAAACTTGCTAGGAGAGTTCAGGTAGTGGGTTTACAAGCTAACTGATGAATATAGGATACAACAGGGTCTAGGCTGTTACAGACTGAACAATCTATATGTTGAGAAAGAGTTTAAGTTTTGAAAGATTGCTACCAAATTCATTTACACCAGTCAAATATATTATTTAGCATTTTCATTATTGAACTTTAGTACACCAACTATCAGTAGCATTTACCTAAGAAATAATAGTCTTTGATCCATGAATCTCATTTCGTATTGTCATTTAGGATTTCTGGGTTTTTTGTTGTATACTACACAACAGCTATTGTTTGACATGTAAAACGAATGAATGCTATAAAATATTTTAACTGATCAAGATCCAAACCATGAACGCTCATTACTCAACAAAAGAAGCGCAACTTCTAAACTTGATGTCGCTAACGTCTTATGAATAATATCGACAGCTAGATTGCAAAATACATGCAAACTTTCGAAGTAACAATTATTTAATAGATAACCGTTCAACGTTCTATTACGTTGGTGCTTCTTGTTAAAATTCAGTAAATTATGTAGCCAGTAAGCTTATTTTCTAAATATTAATCATGCTATTATGATGAACCGATTACTTATTTGAAGCGGACAAAGTAAGAAGGTCAAGGAAGCAACAAACAGAAGTATAAACAAGTCGACTAACAACAAAATATAAATTGCGTACATCACTCTTACTATACCAACATAATCGTAATAAAAATATCACCTAAATAGAAAAGAGGAGAAAATCCTAGTCTGATGATGTTAACAATTAATATTATTAATAATACCAATATGTTGTCAGATAAAATCAAACTAAAGTCACTGATTAAAGCAATAATATCTAGCAGAGATGTGATAAAAGAAAAAAAGGCGAAAGCAAGCAATTACAGGAAAACTAATCGAACTAATAAAGTGGGTGAGGGGAAAACGAAAACATACTTACAAAAAGGTCATTAAATCCTTGGGGGTAAAATAGTCTAACAATATGATATTTTAATTAATATTAAACTGTGTATTAAAATGGTGTATATATACATAATTAGACAAAAAAAAACATTATGCAATCAAGAATAAATTTATTTTGCAGAGCACAATAATTTGTAAGTAAATAAAACATTTTAGAAAGTAATAAATCTAACACGAAATTTAACAAGAAAGTGTGGTTGAACACCACAGGTGTATAACAAAATTTTTACACACAGTAAATAAAATGTTATATACTGCAAGTAAAACAATCAGTACTAAGGACTAAATATACATGACATTTATCATTATTCAGTGATAAATTAATATGAATATCCCAGCGATATAGGACGTCAATCATGGCTTAAATAACTCAATGATAGATAACGTCACAACTTGTAAAACTAGCTGATATGGACTCGAATTACCAAAGACCATCAGTTCCCTAAACATTGCAGGTATAAACTTCTGATGAATGGTAACTTTCACGTAATTTAGGTCCAGGACTTTCTACTGGCAACCACAAGCAACATAGAATATATATATAAACTACTTTTACACATTGATTACCACAACACCTACTGTTGCTACCTTCACTATTACCAAAAGTTAATCGAGTTTATTCAACTTGGTACAAACTATCTGACGATTACAAATTACTACGTTCACATATAGAAATGTCAAAATATTAATTTTCTGAATGTGTAGAAAGAATTTAGTATGTACATAATGATAAGAATAATAATAATAACAATAATAAGAAATAAGAAATATATCGAGAACTCAATATTGTATTAAAAACAATCAAATGAATAGTACTTTTGACAATGAAATGAAACAACACACTAATGGGATTCTAATTAGTGCTAGTGAAACTAATAGCAAGGGGGACAGATATCAAATAAAATAAATTGAAGTTTTCATTTTTCCAAAACCACAAATCACAGTAGATAAATGAAGTAGGTGCAAATTTGATTCACATTTAGCTTAAAAATGGCGATCTACATTGTGAGGGGATCCAAATGATTCGACATTAGTTAGAAATAGAAAATGCAAGATAATACATTTCCATCGACCTCATATACAAAAACAGACAAGCTATTAGCTTGATATAATCATTTTTTAATGACATGTTCAGAAGTCATAACTACCGTGGCACTTTCAGAATAGTAACTACTAGGGGACTGTATCAACAACCAAAGAAAAGTAATAACTGATATGAGGTCCCGGAAATCTTTAACCTTATGCTCACAATCGATATTAAATCAGCAAGTCCCACTTCAACCAGTCGCTTACGACGCAGAATCCGGTAACGCTTGTACATCAATTCGAGTTGTTAGAATGAATTCCATAGTAGTAGAGGTAGTAACAGTATAAGTGTTATCAGAAAAGATTAGGCACCGAAGACACAATTCAAGAAAATATAAATCGGTGAAATGAAAAAAATTATGAGGAATTCAGAGGCTCAGAATCTTGGGGAAGAAAAAGAATGAATACGCCTAAGCTACTGCAAACGATTTTGAGCCACGTCATTCAAAGACAATTACACAAACCCCAACAAGGTAGTCTACATCCGTTAGCATGGCTCAGTCCAACTGTTAGTACTGATGCCATGTTCTGGTTCAGACGCCCCTACCTTTCTTCCAACCTACTCAACACCACATAATATCGCCCGTCGATGTAAGCGATTGTTGAGACGTGTTACGCATTCCCAACCACCTCAATTAACGATGATTTATTACCTTATCAATCGATTTTCCATCTTTACTAGTACTCTATCCCAAACATAGGCATTATTTAATCTACCCAATGGTCCCAGAATACATGAGCAAGGTTTCTAAGGCACTGACAATCGAATATTAGTAACCTACAAATATCTCCTATTCTTAATAGCTTACTTAAAAGGAATAATTAATGCATATTATCTTTTTAACATTCCTCTATTCACAATAAAGCATGGATATTGAACTAGCTGTCTACCAAATACTAAATAAAGAGTAAGTGAAAAAAACCTTGTAACAAAGATATGAATGAACGGATGCCATAACAGTTCCATATCTGCAAATCAATTCACACTGATCGTTCATGCATCTACACGAAAACATAGGTGATATTTGTTTTGCAAACAACGGAAAAAATATGAATTAGTGAACAATATATTATGATAAAGCGGCAATGGTTCGTATTCTCGAAATACTGACACATACTCTGTAAGTTAACTGATGAGATTATCAAAATAGGGTTTAACTAAATCATTATTGACTAATTATGCTAAAAATACGATGAAGCAGAACACAAATGTGAAAATGAAAAAGTTGAAATTGAGATTGAAACATGAAAAATTTATTAACCAGAATATTAAACACATAATGGTTTCGCGATTTGCATATTAATAGAATTAATCAGAGTGAATCAAATCAGACTGCATATTGTAATAGAGCAACAACAAGAACACCTTTGGCTGAACTCTCGCGACAAACGTACTCGATATATATATATATATATATATATATATATATATATATATATATATATATATAGAGAGAGAGAGAGAGAGAGAGAGAGAGAGTTAGCGGGACATAGACTGGATTAAAGCATGCTCAATGCATGATTGCTTTGGTGCACGCTGATTGACTAGTTCTTATCCAATCAGCACTAGTCGATAGTTGGAGAATACTCTGGAATCTTCTTATGTAAAGACTATAAATATACTGACGTTTTCCCTATTGTGCTTCTGACTTGCTTCTTACTTCCATCTAACCTTGTTATTTGGAATATAATCTCTTTCCTGTTCAACCGTGTTCTGATTTGGGGACTTGTCGAGTGAATCGGTGTCCGAGAATACTAAGCAGTAGGAATAGCTGGGTCATAACCGTAAGAAAGAGATTATAACAGAGAGAGAGAGAGAAATGTTGTGAACATTTGAAGTTAAAACGAATTTCTGTAATACTCGTTAGCACAACATTTTAAAGATAATCTTATGTAATGATTATCATTACAGCTTACACAAAAAAACCAATCATAAATCCAGTCTTGTTAGCTCACTAACGATCAATTTTTAAAAATGTAAGTATCGAAAAAGTCACTAAAAGCATTCACAGTTATTTTTATAAACATTCGGATTCGTAATTTCATCTAGTGCATCATCATAATATTTAGTTATGTAAACTACTTAATTATTATTAGTACCTTGACTGATGTAATAGCTCATATATGCATATATATGTTAGACATTAAAGAAGAAGAATTTATTTTTAAAATCTCAGCCAATGGAAAAATACATTCTTCCTCTTTAATATTCCACATCAACTCGGTGCCCAAATACCACGAAACTATTCGATTAAATTTAGATGAAAGTTCTTATGCATATGTTATTGAATATTAGAGAAAATGTTGATAAAGAAGTAATTGAAAACAACATCATTTGCCAACATATGTTGTTCCAACGTACAATATAGGAAGTTTTAGAACCACGGAAGTTAGAAGAAAAAGTAGTTGCAACAATGTACGTGATAACTTATACTACTTACAAATACACAGTAGCTTGAATATGATTAACAAAAATAAGGAATGGTGATAATATTTGTCCATCCTCTAACATATAGTAAACCGAAATCCGTCTTCCAAAAATATTACATCGATAAAATGAGGAGTAATAAGGCTTTTACATCCACTATTCTGTAATAATGAAACGAGCTACAGTCTGACACGACTATGGACTAGTTCATTAATTTGTAATCATATCAACATTTTGACTACTACTAAAACAGTACATAGTTAACCATAAAGTGCTAATAAATTCACCCTAAATTATTTAGAATCAAAACGAGGAACCACGTCTCCATCTGTGAACATATGGGTCACCATACACAAAAATACAAATGGAAATTCCGTCAAAATAAAACGACATAAACAGATAGGAGTGTAAAACTTACCAGAATCCAAATCTCGAGCATTTATCTTTCCTACCAAGCTTCCTAGTGGTGCATCTTCTGGAATAGCATTTATCTCTATGGCATCGAATATTGGTTGATTATCATTGATGTCTAAAACAACTACTTTCAGATTGAATGAGCAACTAAATCCTTCGGGATCTACAGCATCGATTATAAGTTCATGTTCTTGACTTAATTCAAAATCTAATGACGTATTTAAAGTGACAGTGCCCTTGTGAGTATCGACGGAGAAAAAATTTGAATTCTGAAATTTACTGGAATACGTGATCATAGAGTTGTGAGCATCTGCATCACTATCTGTTGCATTTAATGTTGTCAAAATTGTGCCCAGTTTCAAATTTTCTGGGACTGAGATAACGCGATCCGGCTTCATTAAAATTAAAAAGATTAAAATGTTTTACAGGAATATACACGATATATATATATATATATATATATATATATATATTCAATAATGTATCGATACTATAGAAGAATGCTTTTTATTACCGTATTGTGATCATCTTTCAATTGAAAAATATAACAGAATGATCAAGGCGATTTCCTAAAAAGGAGGAATATTCCTAGGTATATATGGTCACTGTTCATGGTTCACATCCTACATCCGGCCGTCAGTATATATGGGCGAAATATTATGGTTCTAGTATTGAACAGATGACAAACATTGATTGAATAGAAACCATGTACTAATCACTACACTTCAGAGATGTTTGGAAAATAACTGTAGAGATCCAGTTGATAAGATACTTACAAGGACGGATATATCTAGCAAGTTGAGCGAAATATTTGGGAAAATATGTGGAGGGAATAAAAATCAACCTAACTTTTTAAAACATTCCCACCTCAATAGCATTCTTACGCATGTAAACAAAACAGGTTAATCATAAACACGTACTTGTATACATATTGGGATATTATCATTTGCATCTTTAACTATCACGCGTAAAATGAAAAGATCTTGTGTAACAAACTGTCCATCCGATGCTTGAAATCGAAGAACATGAACAGATGATAGTTCTCTATCTAGTGGTTTGCGAAGATGTAGAGCACCCGATGGTTGAATATAAAAGAAACTATTCCCATGAGAATTTTGGGAGGATAAAGCAGGCAAGTGTTCATTGATGAGGGTGAACTTAACTTCGGAATGTACATCCTGGTCAGGATCCATTATGGATAACTGATAGATAATCTCTTCATCTTTTGATGGCCACCAATTTTCTAAGATTTCAATTTCATCTGACAATATTTGACGCTTCCTCAAATCGACCGGTAAAATAAATTCCAAAGAATCATTACGGATTGGTGAAAGTGGCCAATAGGGCGGGTTATCATTAACATCATGTACAAAAATGTGTACTCGACTAGTATTCCAATGACCAGCAGCATCAGTAGCCATAACCTAAGTCCCGATAAATTTGTAAAACCAAGAAAAAACATTAGGCTACTCAAATGTATTTCAGTAGCAAAAGATGTCTACATAAAATACATTCATTGTGCAGATGAAAATCACGAAAACAACAAAATCACGGGAAAAAAATGAGTCTGAAACTTCTCTACAATACTATAGGTAACAAACTGGCAGGTTAGGTCATACTTAAAGGCTTGATTAACGGAGAAATTCGTTCAGAGACTATAAATGAAAATGGAAAGACCGAACAAAGCAATGACAGTCAACAATCGGAAAACACAGAACTTTACTATTGCTACAATAACTATTTATTTATTAAAAGTGGTGATCAAATTTCACTAGCAACTAGTCAAATTCTAACAGACATATAAGTATTCATTAGCCTGTAGTTTATCATATATATATAGAATCACTGATACATTATTCAGATACATAACATGATAAACACTTAATATCAGTAATAGTAATCCACTTTCACTACCGAGATGATTCACCGTACATATATTACTTCACAATGAAACTTCTGAACACCAGTTTCGGAATGGAATATTCCTTATTGGAAAGGTTGTTGGAAGTTGATTGTCTAAGGAAAGAATTTCATCATGAACAGACATTTACAAATTAGAGAACTGTTTTACTTTCCTTTTTATAAATACGGGCAATTCATAATTTCGTATTCTTTTATCATTATATTGCATTCAGCACTTAGTATTAGAGATTGCTGCTTTGATCAAAGCTTTACTTTGTAGTTTAATCTCGTTGTTTCAGTATTCCTTATTTTCTTCATTTTTCACTATCACGTTCATAAAGGAGGTTCTAATTTACTCTACATTGCTATCATTTTTATTAAAACGATAGTTTCTATCTAGACATCCTTATCATTATTCTTCATACCTCATCATTTCAATTTAACAACATTTAAAGTTACTTTGTCCAGCTTATTATTGATTATAAATATTTCATAAGTTCCATAAATTTCCTTCTTTAATAACTATTCGCATATTTAAAATCATGTAGTCGAATTTCACATAACAACTAATCAAATTATAATAGACATACAATATCAGCGAAATCATGAAGCGATCAGTGAAAAAATGGGAGCACTGAACGGCTGTTTCGTCCTAGTATAGGACTCCACAGCAGTGGGCACCCACGATACCGCACGGGAGACTCAAACTCAGGAACTTTAGTGAAAAGACACAATTATTTGACTCTGTAATTTATATAAATGAACTAGTCAAAATAGATTTCTTTCACGAATAACTTGTTCAAAGATGATAAGTATTCATTTCAAAAGTCTTACAGTATATCCTAAAACACTTTTGCTTAAATATACTACAAAGACTTATTGATATAGCATAACTATAAGTGGTGGATAAGTGGATTTCTGTAAAATTCAGAAAAATAAACACAACTACTTTTCTTGATCAACTGATAGACAGATATACCTGAAATATATGCTCACGATTCGATTCAAAGTCTAAAAAAGATCTGAGTGAGATCCAACCTTTTCCATCTATTTTAAACAATTTACGTAATGTTTGTAATTCAGGATCAAATAAAATTAACTTTTCTAAATTATCCGACTGATCTTGGAAATTTCCACGTAAACTGAAATGTCCCGACGTTAAAGTAGATATCGGCCATAGAGAATAAGTGATGATATCTTGTTTATTGCCAGCATAATGACCACCCTGATCGTTATCAGCATCATCGTCCATAGCTAAAGTTCGAAGGAATTTTACATTGATTGGATAATCCTCTGGTAAGTCAATATGATATCTAGAAAAATAAATATTTAGTAACAAATAAATTGAAAATAGGAGAAAGAAACCAACAGGAGACAGTTCAACGTAATAATTGTGTCTGACAAAAAAGAAAACAGTCAAAAACACAACAATAACAAAAGCTTTCTTGAAACAGATAAATGTGGATAGACAGAATGAAATAACCGTAAATTAGTCATTCAACCTATTTGAAATCCGGATTAATACATTCTCAATCAAAATTACAACGATTAAAAAAACAAATAAATGAAAATAATAGTTTTTTCTCAGTTATAAATTTATTAAGTGGGGGACTTTTTTTTCTTTTTTTTTTGTATGAAACAACCCTTAGGGTAAATAGCTAAATAATAGTTTGGATGCCAAAACTTAAAACAGAATCTACGACCATTTATGCATTTATATATATATTATTAAATTGCGTGTCCACGAAAAGTGAGTCATCTAATTTAAAACTGAAATCCGAAAAAAAACATAATGAAGTTAGATGGATAAGGAGAAAATGGTGATTTCAAACTATTTGCTTGTTTAAATAAGCTAAGCAGGAATTTGACGAAAACTATTTTCATGCTTACTAAACATAGTAATCTAGCTTATAATAACTGTATTCTATATATCATTGCCTACCATGTTAGTTTACAATCAGTTGAAATATATTATATCTGTGTAAAAACAGAACTGATTTGTTATGAGTTTTTTTTCTTCTTCGGGAAATGTACTACCGCTTAAAAAAGAAAAGAAAAGAACCAACATTCTGGATAAATGAAAAGCAAACACTTTACTAGACAACATCACTTTATTCGACAAGAAAAAAAATTTAGTTACATATGATATGGATAGGATTTAACAATCTTACGTTTTTGAATAGACATTACAAAATAATTTTTTATTAGGTTACCGAAAAAGTTGATGATATGTATCTATCTCATGCAATAAAATAGTTAAAGAAGAAAAGTAGAAAGCTGTACGAATAAGTAATTTTTTTGGCCTTGGAAATCATGAAGTGGCACTGCTTACGTCCCGTTTGGCAAGCATACATTTTAAATGATGGATGAATTTGTGCTTATTTACGTAACGACCATGAATAAAAATGTCAGATTGGATATAGTTGTGTTTGTGATTGAATGAGAAACAACTTGAAGTTCACTTTTAAAAAAAACTATAGTCTCCAGTCGTTAGTAAAGCTCCTAGATCAGTTAGCCAGGACGAAAGTGGAATGCCTACAAAATACTATTATACTGTCGAGAATTTATAGACTCTTCTACGAACTTTATACTTAAAAGCAACGATCGATTTCTTGAAATCACATCTGTCATAGATTTATCGGACGGGTTGTACTCTAAAACTTTCTGTTTGAGAGAAGTGCACCGAGAACACTAACCGATATTCCGTAAACCGTTCACTAAAACAGAACACGTAGAATTAAGGTAATAGACACTGTGTCTAGTAATACACACTAGCAAAAAGGTTAAGCAGTGTTGATCAATTCTACCACTACATTATCGTAAATTAAGAGTATAAACTATTTTGATCAATGATGAATATATCAACAAGATAAATAATCATAATGTTGTAATATGTGAAGAAGTACTTTAGAATGAGAAATTTCAAAGAAATGATTTTGATCGACTTAATAGCATATTCATGTAGATTTACATCATTACATAAACACATTAAGTAAAAGTGTGGAATTACAAAAACGGCGAAATGTACAATATGATTTCAAATAAATTACAATAGATATTCTACTGTCACAGAAACAATAGTCTGTTGATTTATAAATTAATGCACAAACGACCAAAATTGTACGGATTAAAAATTATCTAAGTTAGGATCGTTTGTTATCAGTAAACCATGACACTAAACCTGGCGAAATTTCATTGAACTATAATATATGTAAACAAATATCATTCAACAATCGTACAGGTAAACATAACTGAAATTCCACGACCTTATTTCATACAGAACATGGTATGAATAGTATGGAAATAAAAGGTCAAAGGTCAATTTCTCTTGTTTAAATTTACAAAACTCAGTATAGAGATAGATATGTGGATGTGTGACACAAAATTTCTTAGAGGTCACCAACTATCTTACTAATTAAATAGGAAATCGGTTTCAATACAAATATTGTCTCTCAAAAAGGAAATGAAGACCAATTTCAAAGAAATAAATATTCAAACATAAAATTTATCCTTCAAAAGAATATCTAAATATTTCATTTCATTCATTCCATGTACCTTTCGTAAACAGATAACAGGATAAAAAATAAGTCTTTTTATTGAATAAAACCGTTCGATGAAACAAACACCAAATTACTTATTATTCTATCGTTACCAATAATCTTCTTAAATAGGCGATTCATTTCTTACATATGCTGAAAAGTCTGTCATCGGTTCTATGTAAAATGACAATATAAAGTTTAAGTAAATAGCAGTTATAAAGGCGATATTAGAAGGCAATTCATTGAGAGTACTGAATATAGCCTACAACTATATAAAATGTAATTCAAATAAATTTACAGATGCAATAATGAGAACTGTTTAAGTATTAAGTCATGCACAGGAAATATAAAAACGAACTTGATGTAGTTGAAGAATAAGAACTTAGATGAAATAGTTATCCGAGTGCATTGTTTAGTGCTTAAAACAATCAGATTTCAACTAGTTGGGATCCCAAAACATGATCTACCTGCTTAAAAGTTTAGGAAACTGAGTAGTAGTAGTAGTCGTAGTATCATTAGCGCTCATTATTAAAATATACGGCTCAACATAAATTACATAAATCTATACTTGGTAAATAAGGTGCACTAAATTAAACCAAACTAGTTCTCTTCAAGTAGGTTTAGTTCATGAGGAACACTATCGCCTAATCGGTCAATCAATATTCAAAATAACTAAATTAAATAAATTGGAATATTTATTCTATTAACAAGGAAATTATGGGATAACTTACAATGGAGAATCAAAGTATGGTGTACAATCGTTGACATCAATCAGTTCAATGGTTAACTTTGTACGCATAATGATTACAGGATTATATGCCAAAGCATGAAATTCAATATTTAATTCATATATTGATTGAACTTCATAATTCAAAGGTTTTATCGAAAATATTTGACCGGTTTCGGAGTCGATTCTAAAAATACTTTGATCATGTTGTAGTGGTAATGGTGATATGCCAGTTAGGTGCCATGAACGACTACTCCAATTAGCCGGTTTAACTTCACATACACCAACTTGACGTTCAAACATAAAATCATCCTATATGGAAAAAATTAAAACGGAACATGAGTTAATTATTAGATTAAACATAATGGCATACATGGTACCATTCCATATTGGGAAAAAACCATTTTTATAAACTTGATTCAGGAACTCTAAAAAAAAATTAAAAATAATGATTTAAAAACCCGGCAATTCATATTTCATAAATTACAGTGTAAAAAATATGTATATTTTAACTATGAAGAGTTAAAACATAAGACCTGAAAATTGATCAACTTTTTACATAACTGTAGCATACCACCATTTTAGTGTTATTACACGAATTAAAATTTACAATAAAGCTATTCATACTGCAAAATTTTTATTAATGTGAACTTTTAGTTTGCCTAAAAAGACCGTAAACTAATATTTGTCCTACATTTTTCGTAATAAAAATACCAACATATTTTGTTTGGTTTTAAAAAAAAACCACCACAAAATATCTTTCCCAAGAAAAATTGATGGTTTTTCTCTGAAATTGTGATTTATACAAGCTCAATAATATCTTAGCGGCTTTATGTATTCATTTTGAGTTCATTATATTTAATTAACAATGATGTCGAAAGTAATTTGTAACAACTTTTGTCTACGCTTGAGTTAATAATCTCACAGTAGTCGGAGGAAGGAGTCATGTATGCAAGGAAATGATATTTGTAAACGACTGAATGACTGACATTAAAAGTAACTTCAGCGTTTAGCTCGGCAATGTGGTTATAGATTCTTCAGGGAAATTATCAAAGACTAATCGATGCCTTGAGATTAAACAATCGTTTAGTATATAATTGTTTTGTGAAATGTATATGAAATCGATCATTTGGTTGTTCTTTTTATGGCTTCCCCTAAAGAACCTCCAACCAGTGACAATCAAAATGTTAGAGTTCTTTTTAATTTCAAGTGCGGATATTTTTACAAATATCATTTGCAGTTTAAATCAAGACTTGACTTGAACTGCTATGGAAAACTATAGAAACTATTATTTCATAATTTAAAAAGACTCAATACTCACGGATAGTATTTATTACAAACTACGCAGATAAGTATTCACATGTAAAAAATGATTAACGTATAAAAAATTTGTATCAGAAGGGGTTTCTGTAGATATTATAGTAATTTTAATAGTTGAGATCATGATGCCGGTTCAGTGTTCTAGAAGTTGAGCGTTCGCGTGCGAGACCGATAGGTCCTGGTTTTGAATCTCGCGAGGCGGGATCGTGAATGTGCACTGCTGAGCAGTACCACAATAGGAAGAAACGGCCGTCCAGTGCTTCCAGGTTTTTTATAGCGGTCTAGTTTCAATTGACTCATGATCTCAACTATTAAAATTATTATAACAATTTGTCTAATATTCTCTGAGTAAAATGTTATGCATTTGAAAAACGTGAACCATTGAGTTTTAGTTAAGTGACTAAGTAAGAAACAAAGTTGTGAGTTTTAACAATTCTATTTTCGAAGTTGATCGTTAAACATGTCAATGAGATAGTTCCTGGTCGTAAACAATTTATTTAGGGGAGTCAGCCCACATCGAAAGTTATTTAAAACTAAATATCTAACCAAAGATGGTTGGTGGTTAACAGTGGGATCCAGGACGCGCATTTCGTCTCATCAGCTGGGTGTACCTGCATCCCAGAGTTGAGGTTCACTCCGGGATCCGAACCTAGTACCGTTCGCTTCAAACGCCATCACGATACCCACTTAGCTACTGAGTCCTGATAGGCGATTGCTTATGTAATGGGATGAAGTTTGAATTTTTTGGTATTGTTTGTTTGAATCTTCCCATTGACTGCAACTAAACAATTTGACTTACTATCCGCACAGGATGCACATGTGTCAATAACAGACTGGTCGATTCAAACAATATTGAAAGAATTTAAATATATAACGTTCAATTTCTGTATTACGATATACGTATACAGAGAGATGGATAAGAGAAAATGGATATCGGTTAAATTTACCAAACTTTATATCAGCACAATACAAAGGAAGATTATAAGTTAGAAAACGAGGGAATTAAACATGCAAAACACATTTTTTAAATGGACGATAAGTGAAAACTTTGGAATAATACCAAATATTTGGACGATGATATTCAATGATGGCATCTAATATATTCAAGCCGGATATAAGTGAAGATTTATGCACTATGAGATAAGTTTCAATTACAAACCTGATGCATATAGGTTATCCACATATTACTAGTGTTTTATAAATGTTTAGTGAAAAAAGTTATTCCATAAGAAACTAACAACAAAGCAAGTTTAAGTGCAGTTGCCAAAATGAGGGACTCTAAGGAAAACAAGCAAAATTAAATTTCATAGAACAATCAATAACAAAATTTACCTCTAATAAACGTTGAGATGTACACACAATCTCCGGTAGAACAATAGATGACTGGTTAGAAATGTGTATGTGAATCTGTACAGGATTCGAGCAAAGCACAACAGAATCAGAATAAACAGGTGAATCACAAGCAACGACTAACAATTGTTCTTTCCTACCATCAGCAATAGACGGTGATAATCGTTCATTCAGTAGAAGTAAACCAGTAGTTGAATCGATTGAAAATCGTTTAGATTGAAATAACTCATTGGATGGTGAACTGAATATTCGATAGACAAGTTGAGCATTTTCTTCGATGTCGAAATCATAGGCTTTCAACTGTAACGGTAAAGTCACTGGAAAAACTTCCTCCTCAGATGGATTATACATGAATGGTAATAGCGTCAGCTAAAAAGAGAATTCGAAGAAGAGTGTGGCGCGAGAGGGAATAAAAACAATGTGACTAACTTTTTGAAAATATACTCAAGTGAAATTTAACTAATTTTGTTTTTTTCGTTTAGAAAAAAATAACGAACTTATAATGTAGGAAAATATATATATAAAGGGTCAGAAATTTGCTTTCTAAACTAACTCATGGTTGCTTATCATTAGAAGAAAAAATAGAGAAGAAACCACATAGATGAAACCGTGGAAAGATGAGAACAAAGCTAAGTAAAGAAAGTGGAGTGAAATTAGCGCGAGGCTAAACACAACATTTTCACACCCTTATGATGATAACGCTGATGATAAATAATGAATAAAATCTAATTCAAAAGGGGACAGTCGACTGTATAAATCTAGGTACAAAATTAACACACATACATGCTTACAAAAAGAAAAGTTACTAGACTAATTTATATTCAGTAACCAGGATAAATTATTTTATTCTAAACTGAGAGAGATATGTAATGATGCAGAGATTATATGATAAAAGTAACAAAAAGAGTTATGACGTAAAGAAATATCCCGATATAAATAAACAATAATTGTATGTTGATCATAGCTGACTGTAATGTCACGTAGATAGTGAAAATGGCAGGAATCTAAATCAATAATAATAGTTTGTTATGAAGTCAATCAAGACGACGGTAGGGTAGTAACTTATCAATGATGATCGCCCCATAGCACATAATAAATGAAATTAGAAATGTGAACTGTTAGTTCAAAGTTCATTGGCTCCATAATATTATACCTGATATGATACTTAAAAGTCATAATGAACAAGAGCAAACTAAGATGAAATAGTTATACAATACTATCTGGTCTTCAACGGTTCTGATGTCACCAGTTATTGATCAAACCCATGCAATGATAGTAGTGATGTTGGATAATGACGTTTAGATAAGAATAGTGAATTATATACATATTATTATTATTATTATTATTATTATTATTATTATTATTATTATTATTATTATTAATTGAAATCCAATAAAGGGAAATGTAATAGACAAGCAAATGTGCACAAACACATGGACAAACTTAATGCAATGAACAATTAGATATTTTCAACAACAAAAAAAGTGATTTGGTGGAACGATTACAAACTGATTTACTTGATATTGTAAATACAAAGAAATAATGTAATTATTTAAATACTATAGATAAAAAACACTTGTATCAAACATCCTATGGGAATATATACCTACTTAGCAGATTTTATAAGACATTAAATAAGATACTGGAATTAAATGCACATAACAAATGAATCATTTGTATTCTTATTTAAATGAATAAATCCTATTCACTCAGCATGATAAATTAGACATATTATGATAATTGGAATGCAATATATGCTACATTTCATAGAATTTTTTGTCTACATAAAAAAATTTACAATTTATAAAACATTTACAAATAAATTTTGGATCATATTTGTAATTGTTTACGTCACAGGTTGACGATCGCGAACTATTGAAAATTAAAGGAAATATCACTGGTAAGCTGTTTCTTTCTAATTTGCGACTCTACAGTAATAAGGATTCGTGATCATACATTAAATATTAAATCTAGGGCCACTGTATTTCATGCAGTTAAAAAAATGGAGTCGGAAACTAATAATCCATACTTCCAATTTCAGTTAGGTCGGATTATAATCAATCCAACGATCAGTCAACATTATCAGTGATACCAATTCCACACTCAATATGGTTAATCATCACCTATTAGGTGTGACTTCCCACTAGAACTTCTGGGATTTATCTAGATATTCATTAGTTGATTAGTTGTGGAGACCACTTCTATTTCGCCATAGTTTTCATCATAAACATTTAATGCAATATCTAATATTCACAAAAATAATTAATGATTAAAAAGTATCTAGTGAAGTAATAATTCAAAGTCATCTCAATAAAAAAATATCTACTTAATGTCATTAACTTATGTGGCGAGGACAAATAAAATAAAGTGGAAATTCCATATATCTTAATCCCTTGATAAACTTAAATAAAGCTAGAAGAACAATATTTACAGAGTATATAATTATTCAGTGCATTCACAAAACAGTTAACTAATATAAATTCCGTTAAATATACATCATTAGCTTAATTTCAATCGAAGTTAACTGGATTAACACGAGTAAAAATAAACAAACAAACAAAACAAAGATATAAAATGTAAATGTACTTACTTCATACTTGTCCTGTGCAAATATTGGTCGATTATCATTGATATCTTTAACAGAAATGTCTAATTTCATGAAATCCATTAGGCCGCCACCATCTGTAGCTTGTATTAGTAAACTATATTGATTTTTCATTTCTCTATCCAATGAACGAGTCAAACGAATAGTACCTTTTGTAGGTGGCAGGTAAAATTAATATGTTATGACAATTGTATTAACTATTAAGAATGGTGTTATCAAAACAACAACTGTGAACTAGATATGCACATACTAATTTATAATTGTACAGTAATGACAGATACATAGGGTTTTTGAAAAAAACTAAGCTGTTCAGAAATTGGGATTGGAAAACAGTGATGATGGTCGTTAAATTGGCAATAGTAGGAATAATAATACCTTAACAAAAATTATATATATATATATATATATATATATATATATATATATATATATATATATATATATATAAATTCATTAAAAAGAGATCCCTTCGCTGAACTTCTTGTTTTTAATGTTCAAAATGGAAATTTTATGTCAGTAATAATAATAACTTCTGAGTAAGAATCAACCTAAAAAACAGAGTAACGGAATAGCTAATGTTGTGACTATCACATCAACTTATAATGAAAAGTGAATTTGAGTTGTTGTATTTCAACTTAATTGTCCGATAGAGAGTATCAAAGATTTTAATTTGTTTACTAATTACAATTGCTAAACGGATAATTCAATACCTCTGGGATATAATTTAATGGAATATATATTAGAAAAAGAAGGGCAGAAGGATAAAAATAAAATATTGTAATAATAACAGCGAAATGTACGGACATCCAGTTGACGCATCTTAAACAGGACATGATACAATTTCTAGCTGCAATGGAAATATACTAATTAAAACAATCATTTGATTGAAAACTATAAAACTATGGTTAGACTCTTAGTCCTACAGTTGGACATATAATTATAATAAAAGCGCACAAAGGTTTGATTAGTTTAAAAACACTTCTATTATACAGGTGAGTTTTTGTTTCAAACTATAAAATTAGATGTGACAGCTTTGAAAATCAGTGAGAATTGGGTAATCGTTTTGTTCTGGAATTAGCATAAGATCTTCAGATGAGAACGAAGCATGGTAAGTTTAGTTCACATTTTTGTTTTCAAGCAATTTAACTAATTGGCCAGTAGTAATGGGATGGAAACAATTAAGAACGAGCATTGAAGGTTATGTATATGACCCTACGAGTTTGTAAACTTTGGGGCTTCTATTAATGAAAGAATGTCATCATTTTGGTATTCTTCGCTCTAATATAAGTACTTTTAGCTTCTGCTGGAATAGATGATGATTTAGGATATCTTGATCTATATTGTTCGTAAAACTTAGCTTTCACCCTTGATATTTTACTGTTGTTATCTATATCGCATACACTTCAAAGATACAAACAATTTAATAATAATATTGTTCAATGACCATTAATTAATGTTACACAGCATGAGACTGCGGTACTTCGTTGCCGTTATGATAGATTCCCGTTTGGTAAATGTTCTACCAGCTCTCGTGAGAATATATATATATATATATATATATATATATATATATATATATATATATATATATCTTCGTATACAATGTACGACTAAATGGGGCTAAAAGATGCTATCTACTTGTTTAAAACTAAATTACATCATATAAATTCAAACCTGTATCAATAACAGTGGTTAAACCGACGCAAATATGCTAAATATTAGAAAAACACTAGGCGATAAATTGTTTAATAAATGTGAATAAACACTTGATGTTATATTCATACGATGATGACAACCAGAATGTTAACAAAAACAATCGATTTATGCATTATTTTTATTGAATGAACCTATCAACAGAGTACTTAGGTTAAGAAACCTACTTCAAAGGAAACATATGAAATAATATATTAATTAGATGTGATAGCTTTTTTCAAAAATCACAACAGAATATGGAGAAAGGTGACTACACACAACTATATCACTGAAAATAGGTAGACAAGTAAGGGAAAAAGACTTCCTACAGCTTTCCAACACAGATTTGAAAAAAAATACTAGGTGTATGTACGCTGTGAACTGTTTAATATATTCAGTAAGTGGTGGATATATCTCTCTTTACGCTGGTATACAAACATACAACAAACACTTAACACCAACGAGATCAGCTAAAATTTTCTTGTATTAGAAAAACAGATGAATAAAGAGGAAAAAACTCTTTCGTCCTTACCATCACTAGGATCTATGCTGAACCATTCATGTTTATCACCACCAGTTATATTGTAGACAATTTGTCCATATTTACCACGATCCATATCTTTAGCTGGTTGGATTCGATTAACAATCGATCCAACAGTTGTTAGCTCTGATATTTCCCACCATTCATATTTTGGTAAATGAAATCTAGGTGGATCCCAATTACTTGGATCCAAATGAACTATGACATTACATGTACTTGAATGTAGGCCATCAGTGACTTCAACCTATATAAGATATATATATGGAGGAAACAGAAATATTTTAGGAGTTAAACAAAAATGTTCAAGAAAACAAACTTTTGGTGGACTGTGTTCAAATTCATTTTTTACTGCCATGTGGTGATAAAAGGAAATGGATTACAAACATTTGTTAAACATTTATTTATTTATTTATTTGAACACATAAATATTGGTACAAGAGGGCACCAAATATATATGCGCCACACTATGTTAAATATAGAGAATAAAGAATTGGATAATTATCGAATCCATGATTTTTGTAAGGGGTAAAAGCGAGACAGCTTGCTCGGCACAATGCGCTTGCGTGCATCGATAAACAATTGAGTATCTAACATCCTAAAAAACTTGTCATTCACTTAAAATTAATCTAATACCAGTTAGTTGTATAATTAAATAAACAACCGATTTAAGTGACTTCAGACAAAACTAATAAAAACTATATATGTATTCCATTGATGATTATGTTGGGTCGGCTGCCGGAGAACTTCAACAGAGCCTCCAGAAGCCCAGAAAGGAGCCGAAGGGCCCTAGCCAATCAGAGTATGATGGAACGTTCGAGAATTCCAGCGTGACGTGCTACCATTGGTCGGTAGCACAATATGACGTTAACGGATTGGCTGAAATAAGATATTGATTTAACAGATGCCAACATCTATAAATACCCTTGATTTTCTGTACTAAAATGAACCTTGGGATAAAGTGTTTTCTCTCATACTTGTGTCTTCTTTCTGGAGTTCAAGTCGCTGTGTAGTTCTAGTTTGCGGGTTACGGGAATAGCTTAGGATTCGTATATAGCGTTCAACCTACACGACTTATCAGATTAGGATTGCTATTGACCAGTCTATTCTGACATGCGTATCCTATATTGCTGGTAAGTCACTAAGATTATAACCAGAGATGGATGGTGGTTAGTATAAACAACAAAGGAATATTGACTGGTGAATTAACCAATATGCTGTTAAATTAAATTTGAAGTGATTGAATAATCAAACAGAGTTGCTATATGAACTTTGCTTTACGCCATAGTTTTATAGACGATTGATATTATTCACCTATTCAAAGCAAATTAGCTGAAACTAGATGAAAACAAACGACCTGATGGTTGAAAGTCAACTGACTCATGCAATTCATGTACATATAGACTTGATATCTATATAAATTACTAAACGTAATTCAATAAGAAACATATAACATAAACACAAACACAGAGCACATAAAGACGACTGACACCTTTCCTACTGTATTGTCAAATAATAATAAATGAACTGAAGAAATAGCCAATATGAATTTGTAAAAGTATCAATTAAGAAACAACAAAGGGTCATAAAAACACATACAAACAAAAAAGACATTGTCATTCCGGAGTGAAATCAAGGTCAACAGGCTAAAAGCATTTCAAAAATAAACAAAAATCAATCTCGGTTGGACATAAGAAAATGGAAATAGAAAAAAAAGCATAATCAATTTCAGTAAAATGAAAGGGGAACTTAATGGAAGACAAATAAAAACAATTGGTGTGACTCACTGTAAGAATGAGTCAAATGAAAAGATAATTTATACTGAGAAGCAAATACGTTTATATTGAACCTAAAATGTGCATCGAACATATAATCATAGGATACGCGTAACAAAGTCAGCACCTCAATTATAAATCAGTCAAGCAATAGATATTATCCTAGTTTAAGTTACGTAGCCTTGTGTGTCAACTGAATTTCACCAAGTAGGTTTATACCACAGTTATTTCAAAAACGATGCACAACACATTTTGCTGACTCAGCCAAGACGAATGAAAGCGAACACTGTCTAATCTAAGTTTCATGTCCATTGGAAATCGTCCGGTAGACATATCATTATCTTCGCGAGAGTCAACGTTTACTCATAAACGTGGAACACACCTAATTTAGGAGACACCAAGTCAAATGAATACAATTATGTTTATATTTAACTATCGATTCCGAAACTTATAAAAAGATAATTTCGGAATAAAATACTAAAGGAGAAAAAATAGGGATGGTGAACTTGGAATAATACATATCCTTCCTGAATAGTTTATTTAAAAACAAATCGCTATAAAAGTAAATAATAAACCATAACTTACTTTAATTTTAATTTGATCAATAGATATACCTGAATGAAATTCTAATGGATTATTATGATTCAAAGTTGTAATTATTTCATTTGTATTTAATTGTTTATTACTACTAATAGGTTTGCCAAAAATATTCACTAAAGGAATCCAACGTAATATACCACTATATTCATCAAGATGAAAATAAAATGTCTCATTCTGATGAATTGATATAATATGATATAATAGTGAATCATTTATATCTGGATCTGTAGCAGATAATTGTAAAATAATTGTACCAATAGGTGAACGTTCATTCAATGCAACATGATGAACACATTTTGACTGAATAATATCAATATTGTCCTGATTGATAGATAAAGGATTTTCAATTTTCAATGGTAAAAATGAATCAAAATACGGTGGATTATCATTGAAGTCTAAGACATGAATCTGAAAAGAAAGGAGAAAATAGACTGATAAGAAAAAAGAAACAATTTAGTAATAATAAACAAAATCTACTCCAAGTCATATGATCGAACTAAATTGCCTATAATGTAATATGCATGAGTTGTTGCTTGCTGGAGTAAGATTGTTATTCATTTGGTGTAATTAGACTTCATTGTAAATCCGTTAAGTGTAGTAAGCTAATCAACATACAAAAATCTATATAGTCTAATAACATTATATAACTGGTCATAATAGGTGGATTAAAAATGTGATCAGTAAAGTTATTGGATAGTAGGTAGTCGTATCAAGATGAATTAAAACTTCAAGTGATGCTTACAAGTTAGTACAAAGCTCAAAACTGCATAAGTTTATTGATAGATTGTCTGCCAAGCATATTTAGATAACATCAGAAGGACAAATATACAAATCATCAATGAATTACACAGATATAAAGTATAGTCCAGTAAAACCAAGTAAGGAAGAAGAAAACTGGAGAAAGTTTAAAAGAATAATATTATTTCAATCAATTGAATGAATCGCATAGACCAATAATGAAAGTTCAAAGAAACTTCAGAAATAAAACAAATTATCAAATGCAATGATAACTAACTTACATGAAGGGGAACACGTGTCACCAATGAATTAAGCGACTGATCAGAAGCAACAGCCCATAAAAAATATTCACGTACACTTTCAAAATCCAATTGTTTAGCAACAAATATATCACCAGTTTCTGGATCACATTTAAAATACGAAAGTAGACTCGAGTCCGTTAATGGATTATGTGACTCTAAACTGTATTTTATCTAAAAACAAAATGACAAAGAACAATGTGAAAAATTATATTAAATCCAATCTTATTGTGAATAATATTAATTTAATATTGGTATTAAATAATCAAACAAGCTAGTCTGTAATCGGACAACAATAATTTAGAAGCTGATATTTCAAATATGATATTCAAAATTTATTCATTATTCTAACATGCTTAAAATGAGCACAAAGAAATACTAAACAGAATAACAAAATATGGAGAGTGAAAAACATTTTAGTCAGCACTTATCTATAATGGAACCTCAAAAATAAAATCATTCTAATTAACAAATATTTGTCAAGATTAGAAAAGTCACAAATAACAATATTAAAAATAAATTAATCTAGACATGTAGGTGAAAAATACAAAAAAAAACTAAATAGTCAAATTCACTTGGTGTTGTTTTACTTGTATCTTCTCATTGTTATTTAGGACTGCGATTGATCAGTTTCATGTTGGCATATGTGCATCCTGTGCGGATTGCCTCCATATAGCACTAAGCCACAAGTTTTTTAAGCAAAGATACAAGTAAAACAACACCAAATGAATTTAAACTTCACCTCATTACACAAGCAGGTGGCCATCAGGACTCAGTAGCTAAGTGGATAACGCGATGGTGTTTGAAGCGAACGGTACTGAGTCCGAGTCCCGGAGTAAACATCAACTCTGGGATGCAGGTACATCCGGCTGACGAGTCCCAAATGGGACGAAACGCAGGTCCTGGATTCCACTGCTAGCCACTATCCATCTTTGTTTAAAAAACTAAATAGTTAGATTAGTTGATTTCTCTGAAAACTTCTGATTATAATTTCATTGACATAACATAGATATGTCTTTCATTCGTTTGTTCCTTAGTCAGATAAGATTTTTTTAAACAACTATTTTTACAATGATAGTAGGATTAATGATTACGGAACAGAGTTAAAATAACAATTATTCAATTATCCTGATAAAGTACAAAAGATAAGTGAAAACATCATTGAATAGGGTTAGCTCATTATACAGAAGAAAAAAGTGTTAGTAAATCATTAGGTGAATTAGTAGAGGTGATAACATGGTGATATGTGAAAATAGCATAACGTTGATCGTGCTGAGCAAAAACAAACTGGACGAAAATAATAGTGATGACTAGAGAAGTAACTGAAAAAAGTTTACACAGGTTTAATACAGATTATCAGAGTAATCATACTGGAACATAGGATAAAATAGGATTAAATATAAATTTTTCATTATGTAACGTTTGATGCATGATACTAAAGTTTATAATATAATATTTATGTCCATAGGGGTATATAATCTAATCTATGGATTGAAAATTTTCTTAATCTATTGTATTATTTTATATCCTTTATATATCGAGTGATTACTAATCCGTTTAAAACAAACAATATAGTTAAGATAAAGTGGTTTTGTACAGATGATTTTAATCTGTAAATGATATTCTTCATGGGTCGATCTCATTTGGGGTACAATTGGGAATCATAGACCATTAGACAGCTTTTTTATCATAGTTTAAAACTCTTTAAAAATGTGTAAGCATGACCTCATCGGAGATTGAACCCAGAACTTTTAGCTTTCATCAATCAAGTTTTAGAACAATCAGACATATAATCACTAACTAGTCAAGATGACGTGAATAAATATAGGCTATTTAACTTGGATGATAAATCTATAGCTTTACAAATTAATAAACAGACATACTTCATGTCTAAATAATAAACCAACTAGTTGTATACATTTGTAAATATAGAAACGAATTATTTACTACGTTCATGTATCGATTAAAGTAGACAGAACGAATAAGGATTTTTTAAAAAGCCAGTGTGGAAAATATGATTCATATTTTTCTTAATAAAAATTGTATAATTAGGTTATAAGTGTAAATAATAAACTTTTAGGAATGGATATCTAATAGGGTTTTGTTATGTGTGAAATGCTTGAAAGTAACCATTAGAAGAATATTGTTAGCATAAAGACTACATGAACATAGTTCCCGAAATGAGAAAAAACATACTAGGACTTTATGACGAATCGGTTAATGAAGTAGTGAATTTTCATTGACTGGGGTAATCGGTACATTTAATACGTATTCGCAGCTATTGCCTAAAGCAAAGTGGGTTGTAAAAAAGTTAGGTTCTATCAAGCCGAGATATACCATTAGTCCATAATGTCACTTACAGTTGAACTAAGCCATGTACGTAGGTGTAAATTATTTATTTAAGGTCTACGCGATATTACTGTGGACAGTGATTGAAGATGCTGGGTGACAAGGCTCAACATCGATTGCAAAGGGATAAATATATTCATTTTTTGTCATCTTTTGAATTCTGAAATTTAAAATCATTTCCTACTTTTTAAGCTGCAAACGAATTTTTTTCTCAGATCATATAATCTAAACATAACCTTTTTTAATATAACTGATCGTCTGGCATTTGTTTTGATAATGTCATCACAGTGCGCTGATATGGTGTAGCAACTTCAACCGATTCACATATGGAACGAATTGTTTATGACTGACTAATAATGACATAGTAGAGCTATCTATTACATTTCATTTTTTACCAGTTGGTATAGATTTACTTCCGTGAAGTTCAGAGAGGAAATTTAGTAGGTGAAAATCGAGAGACCGGTTGCCGCTTCAAACTATTAAATCTAATCTATGTAAACAGAATATAAATGAGATTTAGTCAGTTGTGTAGAATCACCAACTATAATTCGTTTAGATTAAGAGCAAAAGTCAATAGGTACAATGAATAAATGATTATTTTTACAAATTATCAATTTAATTAGAGATTTGTCCCATAATTTCATAAACCAACCATCAATATATTTCAAGTTTTGTATTATAACGTCAACGTCCTTTCAAGTCAATAATATTTGCTTTCTCAAATTATTTACTTGGATTCATGTGGGTCCCAGTGAGTTACTAACTTTAAAACAAGTGTAGTAAGTAAACAGATTGATATCATTTATGAATCGACGAATACGATGACCAACTGAACTTAATATTAAAAAGGCTCTACAAGAGAGAAATTAAAATAATAAATAAACGTTACTGAATGGATAAACCTACAATTTATTTCTAGTCTCGTTTCATTTTCCACGAAAAACAAAATAAGAATGACAATAAAAACGATAAAATCGAGGGGGGATAAGTAGTTACCAGTCATAAAAGAAAAGGATGAAAAAGGTAATAATTTCCCTATCCGTAATAAAAATCCATCTAATATTTGGAGAAAAAAATATGTAAGAACAGTGAAATGGGATGATAATAATAATAATAATAATAATAATAATAATAATAATAAATATATGATTATAAGTGTTGTTATTATAACATTGCGACGTACGATCAGTTGTATTGAATGTAAATAATTGTCAAAATAATTTCAACAGAATGATAGATGATTTTCTACTACTGCTAATACAGATAGACAGTTGAATGTTAAAATGATATAAATTTTTATATGATCAACGATGTATGAAATAATTAATCAAGTACAGACATTAAACTATACAAAAATAACTATATATAATTATATGAATGATTTACTTACCAGTCCTCCTAAATCAGAATCTGGATCATAGGCTTTCAAGGTTAGAATTCGATAACCAATGGGAACATTTTCCGATATAGACGTAGAATATTCGTTAATTGCAAATATTGGTGAAACATCATTGACATCCTTTAAAAAGAAGAAATTAGGATTCGACAAAATTTTAATAAACGAAATTAAACTTACTCAGGAAAATCACAACAACAACACTTTACGTAACAGTATAGAACGACTTACAATAATAGGAAGTGATACTTTCACAGAAGAAAAATGTACATAATCACAAACAGAAATTTATATCCATGTGAATTCGTGTAGAAGAAACCAATATCTTCCTTTCACAAGGATAGTGATTGGAAAAAAGGAAGACGAAAGTAGAATACAGCAGGACTTCTAATCAACATTTATCTCAACTTCGTTATTTTCATAATGACATATTATTGTAACTAGAAATCAATCCGCCAACTAATTAAATCTAACTAATAAACACTGTTATGCTTTCTCGATTACAGAATAATATAAATAAAACGTACATTATAATAAAACAAGAAACTTACAGTTACGTTAATTATCAGATTTACACGAGCCGCAAAACCTGTTTGAGTATCAATAACTTCAATTAGTAATAAATAGTGAGATGAGACTTCATAATCTAAACGATTACTGACTCGAACAATGCCTAAAACAAAGAAAAAAAAATGACTGAGTAACATATATGTGTATGGTAGAACACAGATGAAAATCAATCTAAATAATGCATGTACCAAAGAGGCATTACTGAAGCTTAGCCAATACAATGAGATGTTCAATAATAAATCTTCACCTATTTTATTCTAGATTAACCGAAAACATCATGGAGATACATTCTGCTTCTAGAAATAGATAAGATCTAGATAATAAAATCTGATTTTCAGTTCAGTTAGTCCTTTGGACTATCAATATCGTAAAAATAAGAAGGTAGATGATACTTCAACTCTAAATGTTATAGACTGGTATTACATTCTGAAACATATATCGGGAGTCGTTAACAGTAGAGTTCAACCAGGTCTGTTGTGAGATAGGAACTCACTGAAGACAATGGTGTACGGTGGCGCAACTTCGTGGATTGGTTGAAGTTATACATTAACACCGTTGGATGCCGGCTCAGTGGTCTAGTAGTTAAGTGCTTGCGCGCGAAACCAGTAGATCCTGAGTTCGAATCCCGCGAGGTGCGGGGTCGTGGGTGGGCACTTCTGAGGAGTTCCATACCGGGACGAAACGGCCGTCCAGTGCTCCCAGGTTTTCCATGGTGGTCTAGCTTCAATTGACTCATGATTTCAACTTGTGAAATATATAGGAACTGCCTAAACCCAACATTTTTACAAGCACATACATGTTTTGTACAAAATCAGTGAAGAAGGACACTGATATTGAACAAAAACAATAATGAATAGTATGGTGAGGGGGAAAATGATAAAACAAATAAGACGGTTTTACACTTGTATCTCTAGTCTAATAAACTAATGTACAGGAAGTAATAGTAACAGAAATGAATGTACTAGTTGGGAAAGTATGGAAATTGAATAAACTACAGAATGAGGTAGTTGTTGAAGAGAGCTAAAAAGATGGCGGATAGGAGTATAGACACTTTTCCATTTTGAAAATAAACAAAGTGGGAATTCACAAAAAAGGAGACAAATCGCTACTTGACCTCTGAAAAGAATATCATTTAGACATAGACAGTTACAATCTAAATGACAGATAAATAAACAAATAAATAATGACAGAATTATACACGAAAGATGTATGGTCGAGAAGAAACAAATGTATGCATGTTACCTATCAGGTTCTTTAAACTATGTACACAGTAACAGAACAGCTGGTGAGAGACTCTTTCATCGTCTATCTTCATTTCACATACATAGATACACATTTTAAAATATATGGATCCACTACATATTAACAGTATGAAAATAAATGCATGAAATGATGAGAGAGAACAAAGCGAAATATGTACAATGTTAACGGAGGGGTAACAATGATGAAAACATACTAGTTCACGGCATTTTTCCTTAAGAACCGAAAACAACATATATATTTTAAAAGAAAAAAAAACTAAACAGATGCTAACCATGGGACGATTAACAAAATAAATATAATAATAATGTTATATAAATAACAAAAAGCATGGTGAGTGATAACATTATGAAAGAAAGACATGTTACACAAATAAAAGTAAATAAACAATTACTAATGTAATACACTGGACACCATTATTTTTTACATGGATCTGACATGATATACTCGTAGAAAGTGTGTGCATGAAGGTGATAGCACATAGACAACAATAATCATTTTTTACAACATCATGTACAACATAATGATAAATAATGATTTTTAACTGAAACGGAAATAGTTTTGCAAACACATTAAGAACAACACAACTAGCAAGGAAAAGAAATAGGATTTTACTTATTTGAAGTCCACTTACATGTGGCATTGTCATTATGATAAACTAAGAATTGTTAAAAGATAATTAATCAATATTAGGAAAAAAATGACATATGAATGCTCATTGATGAACAATGTTTACAAACAATACGGTGAACTTCATAAACATAACCGCTTAAGCATTGTAATATGTTCACTAGTGGTCAAATATTTGAATTTCAAGTGGGAAGTCAGGACTTGCACATGTAACCGACTCAGAAGTACAGCACTACTTACCTAGTGACATTAGATGAGAATTGCACCATATCAGACAAGAATAAGTACGTCAAATAAAAGGATTATGTGCTAAGAATAGAACTTTAAAACGGTTAAACTCATGGATCAGACAAATGAAAATATCTTTGTTAGTTCAATCACTCACCAGCTGTTTATTCTATAAGACAGTGTGATTGAACTTGAAATCAAAAGAGGTGACTGGTCAGCATGTTAGTTTCAGCATTTTTTCGATATACTCGAAATTAATGGGAATGAAAACTACATAATCGAAATAAAAAATACCAGTATATTAACTAATTATCTTTAGAATACTTCATTCAGTTTCTTCGATCACTCAGACATTCGTGTAAACTAGAACACTAGATTCAGGGTTTCACCAGCATTAAATAAATTTGTTTGACTCACATCAGTCAAACATAAAATTTCAAAAAAAATTGCAAAAGTGAACGATAGTTGAAATAGGTGTGATCAGAGAGACGGTAATGGAAAATGAGAAGAAATGAAAAGCAAACATCTTAGCTTCGTTTCGCATAATTAATCGTAAATTATCCTCTATAAAAAACATTTACAAAAGAAATTCTCTCATGGGGTATCTAGAGATGTAGCAAAAATATTTGATTTACAAAGTAATAATTAACAATAAAATTACAGGGTATCAAACACCGATTTTTTTATTACTTACAAAAAACTAGGCGATGACGTAACAGATTTTAACGATGAATTTTAAGGAAACAGAAAAGTAAGAACTTTGTTTTAAAATAAACGAGTAAACAATTAGAAATGATGAAAATTTTAGAATATCGAATATTATTCGCTGTACAATTTATATGATAGCAAAATACATTACATGACATCTGAAACCTATGTGGTTAGAGTGGATGCTTAAACCGCTAATTCAATAAGTGTAATCAAATTGTATATATCAATGACCATAACTTCTCAACAGTATCCTAATAATAATTACTACTTAATTACACTGATTCACAGAAAGTTAAGTAAATCTTTGTGATAATGAGCTAGATAAGAAGAATAGTCTAAGAAAAGTTGTGACAAGGTACTTTAATAAAAGAACTTCATAAATTAGTGTTTTTTCCCTGAGGGTGTTTTAACAATACTTTTCCAGTGAACAAAACACCATTGGGTGGATGATGCAGATAATCAGTTAAACTGATGTAGCCTCATATCCTCATTCGTTGATTTCTGATTAATCTAACGCAGCAAATTAAAGTTTGTGTACTCAGCTTTAAACCATACAGTTGATGTAATAGTGATACTTTTTGAATTCCCATACCGCAGTAGTGGTAGAAGTAGGAGTGAAATATAAAGCATTAGCAACTTACTAAATGGAAGCCAATTATTCTAACCACTTATCCGTCATCTCCATTTATTAATTAATATACTAACTATAGCTAAAATTTCAAGATAAATTCACTTCTTGTTCGATGAGAGAAAGATGACATTAAAATGAAACCATTTGACAAAAATGTTATTTATATTCTATTGTAAGATGTAATATAATTTAGTAAAAAGAAAGTACTACACGCTATTTATAAACATAGCATGTTTTATACTTCAACAACGAAACTACCGAAATCATTCACCTGTGTTACAAATATACTCTACCATCTAATACATTACATGTAGCTGGATAAAATCGACTGAGGCACGAGAAATAAAGACATGACAAAGTATACACACAACATAAATAGAGTAAAACAGTAATTATTCAACCGAACAACCTTAACAGTCGTAAAGCCAATTGATATACCAACGAAAGAATATGTAGTATATATTGTTGAAATATTACTACCCGAATTGAACAGTAAAAGGTAGGAAGAAAATATACATATTACTAATAAGAGGGGAAGAAATACGTTGTCGAGAAAAAAACAAACAATTTTAACGATTTATTTTATATAATAAAAAGAGAAAAACAATCGTGTTTTCGTAACGAAATCTTCAAGTTATTTTCATGCATCTAAAACTAGGATTATTCTATATATAATTATCATGAAGAGTATAATCGTTTAATTCCATGCAGAATATACAAAACTGTTAGTATGTTTTGAAAAATACAGTTCTTGTATCGGTAAATGCAAGATATAGGATATATGAAAGATTCTGATGAGATGAGAAGTTAACCGATAAATCATACATGACATGGTCAAAATACACAGTTTAGTTTTTTTAATTATCCCAAATACTGGGAAATTATGTAGATATTTATGTATTAAATTAATGATCACATAGAATGTTAGTTATAATTCAAGTTGGTCTATATGTGATTATTTTAAAGTGATTACATATATGTCCACGGCTTCATTCGTAAAACTTTAATAGATTCAATCCTAAAGAACCTACACCAAATAACATTCGGTACTCAATAATACATCAATTGACCTGAGATTAGTACGTTGCAGTTACATGATTGATAGACAATTAATCACTAATTGTCATATGGTACATTAAAGTACTTTTAATGTAATGAAAGTATATGTAGTCGGTTAGATAATATGTAAATTGTAACTAAAAGTTCCTCCCAGTGAAAATTCAATATCCTTATGAAATTAACATGATTGAGTTTACATTGTAAAACCAAATGAATATATTAAGTTAATCGGAACGATCTTATAAATTTAACTGATAAAAAGCTACATAACATTTCAAAGAATCCAAACACTGGATAATAATGCCTATACCCTTAACTTTACAGTAATATACATATTAATTCACTCAGGAAAAACTAAACAATTGTTATGATAGGTGCCAATTACATTAACAAGTATTAAATATCCTTATAATGTAAATTTTTAAAAAAGACAATAAGTATACAGAGTTCAACAATACTAGTTTTAACCGGTTCCTATCTACATCTTACCCTAGGGAAAAAAACAAAACATAGATTACACAATTAATAATAGAAGGATGATAGATAAGGCAGTAGTATTTATATACTTGTCATTATTATAATTT